GGGGGGGGGGGGGGGGGGTGCTTTCAAAATCTTGAAAACTTGGGGGAATTGTTGTTGGATTAGAACTCATGTGGAAATATTATAAGCATTAAATGAAAACAGGGGTCGAAATGACCGCTTGCCAAGTCGCCAAATATACGGCAAAAAAAGGCCAAGCCCGTTGCTCAACAGGACTGAACAATGTTTTGCTGCCCATGTTGTTCACACTTGTCAACAATATTGAACAATGTTGTTGAGCCTGAATCGGGTGTAACAATATTGTTTAATATTGTTGACAGCTATGAACAATGTGGGCAGCAAAACATTGTTCAATCCTGTTTTCATCAGTATTGCATCAACCTGAGCGTTTTTACGCGTGTACGACCAAATTTTTCATCTGCCGACCAGACATTTACGAAAGGTAGCCGTTGTGGCGACTTTGAAATGATAAATTAATCTGAAGCCTTAAAATACCTCGAGTATTTCGTTCTGCTTTGTATATAATATTCCAACATATCAATCAACAGCTGTTTTTTTAATGTTATACACAAATAGAATACTTATACCACATTGTTATAGGGGGACCTGATTTATTAAATTTGCCGACCAGATCTTATTCACTGGCCACTTCGGCGATCTAGCTACTTGGGCGACTAAATCATTTCATAATCATTTTACTGAATCAGTCGTGCAGCTAGCACTGTAGGTATATTTACTCTAACTCTGGCATAAAAGTTCAGCAACCAGCGGTAATATATCAGAGTGAGAAATAATGCTAGCTCTTTAAGTTATTTTCGTTGCGAACTTGCCAATTACGTTTCCAATTTCGAAAATTGGGCGTGAACTTTGCAACGAAGTTTGCAAGTACATTTCGATGTTTGCGCAATGTATATAGATTTTGAAGTGCGTATTTTCTCAACAATCGGTTTCACACAATCGTAATTCGTAAATACAGATGATTCAATCACCACACTTCTGAAACGTCGTGCTTGTTTTCTTTCAGAATGGGTTTGGCAATATCTTTAATTTCTGACGTTGAGGAAAAGGTACTGTGCCTTGCTCTCTCTCACAAGATGTCAATGTTTTGAACAGAATGCACATGGGTATCAAGGCAAGACAAGTTAGAGTGCCACGCGTTCCAGTAAGACGCTTCTGCGGCCATGCGAAATAATGACAATTTTTTGCAACACATTTATAACAAAGCCGAATTTTTATCGAGAAAGTCGATGAAGGGTCTAAATTCACATTTAAGCTTTTTCGCATGAAAAACACTTAACTGGAAGGAGGCCATTAAATTTGAAGTGAAAAGACAAACAGAATTTGCTCTAAAAAAAGGAGCAACAAACTTTGCAAAAGTGATTAGTTCAAAAGTGATTAGTTGCATGTATATATAAAGCGTTCCTCTACGCGTTTTTGAACCACGCTGTCGTCAAAAACACGTTTGTTTTGGAATTTTCCTGTTCGCACTAAAAATATGCTTTGGGCTCTTTGGAAAGACGTATTTTGCAATGTAACTTAGCCTCTTGCCTCAGACCAGTCTTTTCAGACATCTATCGGCCCCCTAACCCACCTAAAATGTCAGGCGGATTTCGGCACTGATCTAATGTTCAAAATGAGATTTTAAAGTGTGTCAAAAAATCGGATCGTGATGTGTTTAAAATAACTACATTATTGTCTTTTCCATGTAACGTGAAAGATATAGTTTTCCACATCTCTTAGTTTGAAACTTGTGTCAGCCATCTTGGTGTGATTTAATTAGTTATTCACGGTAATTTTAACAGGCAGAAGAGAGGCCATTGTTGATAAATTTTTATTCAGACAATGTTTATTCTTTAGCCTACGCCTACTCGGCGGCTTTGGTCAATTTTGGGCTAGCATTTGGTAAGTATGACGTCACATGCGAAATGAGAGCAAGCGTTGCTTTCGCATGTGACGTCATACTTACCAAATGCTAGCCCAAAATTTACTAAACTGCCAGTAAAGGTCGAGGCTGACTAAAAACGAGTTTTTTGTCTGGACAATAATCCGTCTCCTAATGTAATTTTTTTGCTATTTTAAAGGTGTGGTATCATAAGTGTTCAAGTCGTGGCAAAAATTGCAACAAAACGAGTTTGGTGGAACACGGTGGATGTTCCATCTGGTATGACGAATTACAGGTGAGACAATCCATTTACTGAAACTGTCTCCCTTTGTGCATACGAACACCTCTCTAGTAGTCAAAACTGGCCGTTGAAAAATTACCGTGGGTGTTGCAACCTATTTTCATGAGCGTGGTCAAAAAACATGGTGCTTGAAATCAATTGTCATATGCTCATTATTCAGCGTCTTGTCGACAAACGTTTAAGGGGGAAGTCAAGTCCGTTCTGCGCATCTGTTCTGCGCATAACAATGAGAGGACCTCTAATGTGAAAATTGCCCAAATTTCGAATGTTTCGAATTTTTCTGAACATAAACTTTATTTCATATTCATTTAGAAGCATAGCGAACCAAAATGATGTTAGATATTTAGACAGTACATCATATTTTAAAAAATGCAGCAGTTCAAAATGTAAACAAACCGTTTGTTTACATTACGGACTTGACTTCCCCTTTAAGGTATTCAAGAAATATCACGAAGCTTTCTGAGTTGCTGATTAAGGACTGGACATTGTTAGAAAATTGAGATGAATAGGAAGTAAAACTCCGACGTCTTCGGCCCTTCGTCAGGATATTAGGTAGTTGAATCCAACCCATCTCAATTTTCTCGTGTTTTTGTCATTACCTACACTGGCGCAGATCGTCCGAGTTGACGTTTTTAGTCCGTCTATCAACAAAATTAAGATTATTATATATTGAGTATTCATTTTGCATGTTTTGAAACATTTTGGGGGGTGATTGGGTAAGATCTTTACCATAACTTAAGAGCCTCTAGGTCAATTTTTGGGGGGACATCTCCCTAGCTCCCCACCCATATTCGAGTTTGTCTGGCCTTTCTTCCACCCAACCACACCTTTATTCTGTTCTAATCCAGGTAAAAAAATCCTTTGACCCCCTCCCCCAATCAAACACGCGATGCTTCGTAACATCTCTATATGCGCAGTTGTAAATTTTTCTTAAAATAAATCCTGCCATGTTCTTCAGTATTTAGCGGACGTGGAGGATCATCTTGGCGTGTCAATACCCGAATGTGGTTCAGATATGGTTGTAGCTCAAAACGAATTTGATGGGAAAGTTATTTATGGAGCAAAACGGAATAAGTCTGGTAGGAAATTTGGTTTTTAGATCAGGTTCACAATACGGTAGCTTGAAAATTGGATTTCCATACTATTTCCAACGAAGATCCATGCATTGCTATTTCCACAGTATGAATTTTGAAAATAATTTCCAGTGTACCAAGCATATTAATTCATGAGTAAATTAGCCAACCATATTGCTTTATTTTGCTCACATGATAATAATGGATATGCCTGGTGAAATATATTGATCCAGTCCTAGATTTGGATCAAAATTAATTCAGTCCTTGGACTGGATCAAGTCCAAGAAATCTAGTCCAGTGCTTCTAGTCGGATTTGAAATATTACATTTTAGATTTCGGCTACGCACACGCTTCTCTCGTTTTCTCCCAACATTCCCCTTGTGCATTATCACGAACAAACACACGCGACTCGTTTTCTCTTTCTTAATGGACCATTTGCATTATAGACTAAATGTTGATCTAAACAAGTCTCAGTCATTTTGTATTACGCACGGGAAATTGACAGCCCAATGGGGTGTTGGGGCATCAATTTCCCGTTTGTAATACAAAATGACTGAAAAACGGCAAACTTCGCAAGGCTATATTATCCGCATTTTACAACATTTCGCAACGAAACTTTGGAATATTACTAATTTTGTGATGCTCTTTCAAGCTGTGGTGAAAATTTTGTCTAGACCAAAATTTAGTCTATAATGCAAATGGTCCATTGAACACTGATTAAGTTCGCTATAGTTTAGTAATAAATACATAGTTAATATACTCAATGTAATGTAGTCAGTCAGTGAAAATTCCCGACGAGAAATTCATGTATGCTAATTCTGACTTTAACTATTCAGGTCATTTGTTTGTAAACCATGTTCTCGAGCTAGAACCGTCAGTTGTGGAGCTTGCAGAACTAGAATATCAAGCACAGACTTCGTTCTTCAAGTTGAAGCGAAAAAAATGGACCGCTGTGCACTAAGGCAGGTAAATGATTTGTCTAATTATGTATTATTGACTTAGAACGAATATCACAAAATTAAACACGATTGCCACATGGGAACATTTTTATAAACAAGCCGAGAGATGAATTCAAACACCAGTTTTTACCAGTGCCTTATTTATTTATCTAACTAAACATCATTTATTTAGTCATCGTTTTCTATACAAAAATGTTATCTTTATTACATTTAGGTTACATTGAGTTTTGTTCAGTGTTTTGGATATCTATAACGGTGTATCCTTTTCGTGAATAACAATGAGCGAGAATTCCAAAATGGTGAAACGTTTTCGTGTAAATTAAAAAATTAATATAATTTAAATTATGCTATTCGGTAACATGTTCTGCCCCAAACAGAATAGAATCACTTGGTGAAACATTAACTTCTAAATGTCCCAATTGAGATTCGAGCTCAACGCGGATTATGCTAGGTGGAAATTCCACCCAGGTGCCTAGATGTATATCAACCTAACATAGTCTGGTTATACATGAACCAAGATATCTTGGTTAAACCAACGCAAGTCCTGGTTAAACCTGTTCAATTCAAAGAGAACTAAAATAGCCAACAAATTTAACAAGGAAGATCAACTTGTAAGAATTGTTTTGTTGCTGGAAACATCACGTATATTTGAGAATAACTATACGTGGTGTTCCAACAAAACGCCACAGATTTCACCATACAAACATACTCGAAACCAAATAATATTATTACTTCAGTCAGGAAATTTTAACCAAAATTCCTCTGAGTGTAGTAGACGACTAAGCTCTATAGCACAATGAAAATTCAAGCGTGGTCTGTTTTTCTATGAAATTCTTTTCGTTTCCTGGAAAGTCTCTTAAGTTTCCTGGAGATTTTCACAAGCCGCCTTCGTCACCCCATCAAGAATTGTGTCGAGTTTTGTAAAACTGACTTTGAAAACATAGTCCGAACCGAAGGCCAGGTCTTTCAGGAAGTTATAGAAATCATCTGTGTCTTCGCCAACACCAATGCCAATTGAAATAATGCTGACGTCAGCGTCTCTTAGCAACCCTGCTTCCCTAATGGCGGCGGTGTCGTCATGTGATTGACCGTCGGTCAGAAGAACTATGACGTCACGTACGTTTTCTCGGTCGCCTCGTCGGCCATTGAAAATCTGTGAAAATAGAAAGGCCCATATATGGTTGATACGGTGGAGGCAAAATTATACAGCTAATGGACCATTCCCCAATTAACCAAAATTTTGATCTCAACAAGTCTAGACAAAATTCCATCATGGCATGAAAGAGCATCACAAAATTAGTAATATTCCAAAGTTTCGTTGCGAAATGTTGTAAAATGCGAATAATATAGCCTTGGGAAATTTGCAATTTTCAGTCATTTTAGATTACAAACGGGAAATGGTTACCACTTTTCCAAAATTTTGATCTTAACTAGCCTAAACAAAAATTTCATCACAGCTTGAAAGAGCATCAGAAAATTAGTAATATTCCAAAGTTTCATTGCAAAATGTTGTAAAATGTGGATAATATAGCCTTGCGAAGTTTGTAATTTTCAGTCATTTTGTATTACGCAAAGAAGTGGTAACCATTTCCCGTTTGTGATCTAAAATGACTGAAAATTGCAAATTTCGCAAGGTTATATTATCCGCATTTTACAACATTTTGCAACAAAACTTTGGAATATTACTAATTTTGTGATGCTCTTTCAAGCTGTGATGAAATTTTTGTCTAGACTTGTTGAGTTCAAAATTTTTGGTTAATTGGGGAATGGTCCATTCAATCAAGGTTGTCCTTTCAAAGTCAAGACCCTCGACCTCTAAGCGCGAAAAGCACGGTGAGTTTGCATACAATTCAAATATAGACAGATTTAGATCGAGGACGCGGACGTCAAAGACGACGTCAAAATGGCGTCAAAATGGCGTGGCATATCTATACATGGGCACAACACGCCATTTTCACGTCGTCTTTGACGTCCGCCTCTTCGATCTAAATCTGTCTAATATGTAATTTGTAATTCCGACACTCCGTAGTTACGGTTGCTACGTCCCACAAACTGTTTTGCTTTTGCAATATTGAGAACTTGCATGATTTAGAATAATGCGCACGCTTGCAAACGTTTGTTCAGAGAACAAGCAGTTCTTGAACGGCTACAATTTTCAAAGCGTTGGAATTACAAAGAACTTCACTTTGGAATTTCATCTACGTGTAGCTTAAAAGATTCGTTAATCAATAATATGTTTGAAAAATAAGGAAACTTTTAGCACATGTAAATCTGTATATGTATATCGGTAGAAGGAAAAGTCGCTGACAATTTTGCCATTTTTAATTGGTAATTTATGGAATTTAAAATCGCGAAATATTCCACTTTCATGGAAATGTTACATATAATATTACATATAATATGGACCTGGTGTCCTCTTAGATTTGTATACATATGTGCTCTATATGTTCTTATTTAATTCTTGTCAATCTCGGTTGATCTTATCCCAAGTTTGAAATTCGCCCCAGGCCCCAAATTTGAAAACATTGAAACATGTGTGGCATAAAATGTGATATTTTGGGATGATTTGGGTTGGCATTGATAATTTATGGCATTTTTGTTAAATTTTGAAAATGTTTGCTGTCATATACGGAAATTGAAATTTTTAATGTGGAGGCACTGACGAATTGGGTACAAACCACAGAATAAAGATCAGTAACAGAAGGGCCACTCAGCGGTGCAACGTGTCCTCGTTTTTTTTATGCAAAAATATGCAGTTTACTGGCCAGAAGACGGAGCAGCCAGCCAGTACAGCATGTTTATTGGCCAGAAAATGTCATTGACTGGCTAGGAAAATAGCGGCCAACATGCGTAATGCGACATGCGCGAGAACAGAAACTTCAAAGCTTTCGACGCAAGTGGCCCTTCTGTATGGATCTTTATTCTTTCGTATAAACTGTGATCGGCCTACCTGTTCTCGTGCCATTCTTAACGCGACATGTGTGGATGTTTGTCCGCCATCACTCTGCGTAATATCGTTAATACGATTCATAAGCGAGTCTTTATCGTAATTATAGTCGTCAAAGAAGAATGTCACCGCTGTTTGTTCTTCGCTGCTAAACTGAATCACCGCCACACGACTTTGATCTTCAGAAATATTAAAACGATACACCAATTCTGTGACAAAGTTTTTCATTATGGCGTAATCTGAGTCTTTTATGCTGCGAGAATCGTCTATGATGAGTAAAATGTCCGTGTTCTTTGTTGTACATACGACTGAAATGAGACAATTAACAATTATTCAATGAGGTTGAGCATGATATGAACAATTATCAAGCCGAACGTTTGTGTTATCAACCGAAGCCGAAGGCTGAGTTCAATCCTGTGGGTTGAAATCGTCGAAATAATTATCAGTTCTTTTCCCATTGCAGAAAATCTTTTATAACTGCGTTAAGATGTTTCGTTGATTTTTCTTTATAGTTTAATATTTATTTTTTATTGATTATTCTTTATAGTTTAATATTTATTTTTTTATTGATTTTTATTGATTTTTCTTTATGATCTGTTAAATTAGACTAAAAAATAACACCGTCAATTTTCGAGTCATATGCTCCTTTAAAAGGACATTACCTTTTTCTTTTTCACACATCTGTCCATGGAACTTCTCACTGCAAACACAGTTAAACCCGCCATCAGTCACTTCGCATATCCCATCATTCAGGCACGGTTTTTTCTCGCAGGGACCTGGGGTGGAATAAGAATCTAGTCAATGACAATGATTGTACAATTTTATTCGCTGATTGCCCAGAACGTTTTGCATATTTTACTAACAACCGAATTTTTGTAAATGGATATTTTTTATATTTGTGTACCAAAATGTAGAACTTTTTAAACGTAGTTTTATTCCTTCTATATTTGAATATTTGTAGTTATGGTTGGTTATTATTATTATTCATTATTGGTGTTTTATTAAATATCTGACGTAAGCACAAAATAATGAGTTGTGATATTTTTACATCGAATGACGAAATAGGTCTATGAACTATATTACAAATTAGGTAAGTATAAGGAAGTGATACAAATATATACAATTTTCCCAATTCCCACTCGTTTTCCCAATTCCCACTCGTGTTGATATTTAACAATTATTCGCCGAAGGCGAAGTGATTATCGGGTATTCCCCGAGACCCAGTGGCCGAGACGAAGTCGAGGTGAATATTCCCCGATAATCACCGAGCCTGAAGCGAATAATTGTTTTAGTATTTTTACACAAGTCTTTTGGTTTTTTTGGGATTGAATTTATTTTAATTTCGCTTATTTTTTATCAGGAACTTCCACAAAACGGCTACCCGCCATTTTGAAAATTTCAGTTTTGTTATATTCACCTGTAGGTGAATATAACAGCTTAATACGTCAGATTTGACCAATCAACTTGTAGGATTTGTTATGTTCACTTGTGCAAAAATACTAAAACTGTATATCAACATGGAAAATATTTTTGTTAAATATTCAATTGTATATATTTGTATCACTTCTTATATTTACCTAATTTGTAACATAGTTCATAGACTGAAAAGTGATAGACCTATTTTATCACTCGATGTAAAAATATCACAATTCACTATTTTGTGCTTACGATATTTAATAAAACACCAATAATAATAATAATAATAAAATTAATAGGCAATTCCAGCCTTTAATTTATGCGCGCAGGTGGTGACGGGAAGTAAGGTATCATATTGCTGATTATGCTGAAAATTTTAAATAAAAACTGCCGAAACAACCGAAATATTGCAATATTTACAAGAATAAGCTATCACTCCGTGTTTACACGGCCAACATTTTTATTTTTTCAGCATAATCAGCAATATGATACCTTACTCCCCCTCCCCCTGCACACATAAACTAAAGGAATTTTTGAGCCGAAAATGGTAACAATTTCCGCACGTAATACAAATATACTGAAAATATGCAATTTCGCAAGGCTATATTTTCTGCATTTTACAACATTTAGCAAACAAATTTTGCAATTTTACTAATTTTATTATTTTCTTTTTAACTGTTGTGTTTTATTCGCTTCTCTTTACTTAGATTAAAATTTAGTCTAACATGCAAGTTGTCCATTGCCTATTGGAGGATTGCTTTTATTATACGTTACCTTTCGTCTGTTCGCATGTAATTCCTTTATATTCATCAGTACAATGGCAGATAAAACTGTCTCCTTTGTTCTCACATCTAGCATTATTTAAACACGGGAAGATTGAACAGTCACCTAGGGCAAAAAATATCCGCATTAAATCATTTTATATTTAGACATACCATATGGTCGTAACGGTCGTAAAGATCGAGTCACGATCTTTCTCATCAGCCGAATACAACATTTTAGAACTGAAAATACGCGTAGTGATTATAACTAGAGAATACTTATGATTTATATGTGGTGTACAGGTCTGAACTATTATAAACTGGCCGTTGAGAAAGATCGTGACTCTATTTTTACGACCGTATGGAAGCCACGGCTTAAGAGCCGTCGTCCATTGCTCGTTAACCCGGGCTGGCTGGCTCGCTTTGCCGGACCGGTTAGCGAGTTTGGCACCCGGATGGCAGCGAAAAACAGAATTACTTAGTAAATTTTGTATTCGAGCCAAAGTATACATCACTAAACTTCAGTTGCCTCCTTAAAAGTATTTATCTTTCTTTTAAACAACCCTTTAGTCAGTGAGGGCTAATTTATAACCATAGTTCTCAGCTAAATGGAAACACGACACACAAAACATCCAACTGTCACAGCAGTAGCGCAGGAGATATTTTAAGTGCATGAGGAGTCTACTAATTTCAAAAACTGAGGCTCGGAAATGCCATTCCCTGCACTTTCTGACACCGAATTGTAGAATTTGTGCGGCAAAAATGCTGCAAAATGCTTGGTTTTGATCATTTAATGGTTTACTGTCTTACCCTGGTCATAGCCTATCGAAGGGAAGGTGGCTGTGAAACTCATTAGAATAACAATATAACTCATCTATGATAAGCCCCGTTTACACTACGCTAAATTTTTGGTACGGCACGGGTAAAATTGGTACCCGTACCACTTTTTTGGTTTTTCCGTGCCGTACCAAAAATTGAGCGTAGTGTAAACGGGGCTTTATTCATAAATCTGGTCCTTCACCGTCACGTGTGTATTGTATTTTTGACCAGTAGCAATGTTTTAGGAAAGTTACCTATCCGTGCCTTAAACAATAGGGGAAATTGCTATTGGTAGACTTGGCAAAAATACAATACACACGTGACGGTGAAGGACCAGATTTATGAATAAACGTTGACTAACATAGATGATGAATTATATTGTTATTCTATAATGAA